ACGGGGCGGGGGGAACGCCCGGCCTGGCCCCCGCGCGGCTTTGTCCCCACGCCGCCGCTCGGGGCAGGGAGCGAAGGTGCGCCCGGCCGCGGCGCGGGGGACCGTGGGTGGCCCCCGCCTTTCGCTGGGGTGGGGGGCACCCAAATCCCTCCCTGGGGGGGCGGAAGCGGGGCGCAGCGGGGACCTTTCCGTCCCCTGGGACGAGGGGTTTCGAGCCATCCCCCTCCTCGCTCCGGAGGGATCCGGCACCGTCCCTGCGTCCCCCCCCGGCTCTCGCCCCGCCGCCGGCAGCGGGGAGGGCACATGGAGGGGTTGGCGTTTCCTGCGCCGTATTCCCCGCCGGCTATTGTCCCTTCCGCTCGCCTCCCGGCATCCCCTGGCCGGCGGGAAGGGGGGGCCCGCGCTTGCCGGCCGCCGCCGAGCCGTTCTCCGGTTCGGCTACCCCTCTTCCGGTGCGGCGGCCGCGCGGCACAGCCTTGGCGCGCCCCGACCTTTCCCTGTCCGCCGTTGGTCTCTGCCGGAGCTCCGGCTGCATGGCCGTCCTCAAACCCAGGTGCTGATGACGGGACGGGATTTCTCACCCTCCTGGTTTTTGGGGGGTGGCGGTGGGGACCCCTCTCCCTCCCCGCTGGCCCCGGCTCGAAGGAAGTGGCGGCAGCGCGGGGGCAGGAAGACGAAAAAGCAGGCGGCCGGAGGTGAGATGGGAGCGAACGGAGCCGGTGCCGGACATACCGGTGGCACCGGAGAGGTCCCATCCCACGTCCTGGCAGACGGAAGCATTCCCAGAGGGTCGCCGCATGGCCCCGGTCCGGCGGACGGGCTCCCCGTTTTGGCGGGAGAGCCGCGGTGAACCGGGGGGGAGCGCCGGGGTCTTGCCGAGCCCCCCGGCAACGGCGGCGTGGACGGGGTTTCCTCCTCGCCGTGGGGCTGGGGGTCGTCCCCGCCGCGCAGGGGCAGCGCCGGCCGCTTCCCCCCACCCTCCGTCGCCGCTTTGTGCCGCCAGCGCCGTGGGACGACGACACGTGGCTTCTCCCCCGTGGTTTTTTTGCTGTCTCCACGCCGGGGCAGGGCACGGGTGGGCAGCGAGCCCCCACGGCTCCCTCGCGGGGTCCCTCGGGCACCGGGATCCGGTTACCGGCCCCCCCTTATTCCCCGCCTGGGAGCCGAGCATCTCTCTCGCTCCGAGGGAGCTTGGCCCCTCTTTGCGGTCGCAGCCCGCGCCGCTCCTTCGCCGGGTGCTGTTTCTGGAGCCGTCGAGGCGATTTTGGGGTCTGTCCCGGTTGCCCCTGCCCGTCGGTGTCCCCCCGTAACCTCGTCGCCCATCGGCAGAGCGCGGTCTGACCCCCAACGCTCTCCTCTTGCAGGCTGCAGGACTTGGAGCGGGATGAAGACAGCCTGAGCGAGAAGGTGAGTGGCCCTGGATCGCCAGAAGCCGTGTTTCCACCCGCCCTTGGCTCCGATTTGGGCGCCGCCATCCCGTGCCGTCGCCACCGGTCCCGCATTGGGTGCTGCCATCGGGCTCGGGATGCTCCGGCTCGCAGCGGTGGGAGTCGGCGGGGCTCCGGAGTTGGCTCCTGGATGCTCGGCATGGACGTGACTCTGGTGCCGAGCAGGGGACTGTGATCCATCGGTGCTCCCGAGCCTCTGGTTTCTGTGCCGCCGCGGTGTTATGAGGATGGGGGGGGTCCAGAGACCCCCGGCGTGGGGTGGGGGGCACAGGGCCGGTGCGGCGGGCTGGCCGGGTGAGACCCCTGTGTCTCCCTGGCTGGCCCAGCTCCCTGGACCCGGTGAGGTCGTAGTCCCGGTGTCGGCGCTCTCCGTTGCCATATGGAAACCGCTGTCACCTCCTGTGTCAGGAGGGTCCCCGTGAGCCGGGTGAGCGGCGCCCAGATTCGGAGCAACAGACGGTTTGGCTCAGCCCGACCGCCTACGGAGCCGCCGCTCCGCCGAGCCCCGCGGGGAGCGTCACCGCCGCCCGCCCCACGCCGTCCCCTCCGTCCCCGCAGGAGTGCGTCAAGGAGAAGCTGAGCCTCATCCATGGCTTCCTCCAAGCCGACGTCCAGAACCAGCTGAACGAGCTGGAAGCCAAACTCCACTGCGAGGAGCTGTCGGAGGTGAGATCCCGGTTTTCGGCGAGCCGGCGGATTGGGTTGTGCCGGCTCCTTGGCGGCACGGCTCACCGGAGCCGGGCGGTTTAACCGATGCTCTTCCCTCCCAGGAGAGGTACCTGGCCAAGGTGAAAGCCCTGCTCCACCAAGAGCTCTCGACGGAGAATGGGGACGCGGCGCCGCTGCTGCAGGCTTCCAATGGGTGCTCCAAAAACGGCGCCTACGGGAGCGACGAGGACTCGGAGCGAGCAGGACCCGATGGGGAAGAAGACAGCGCCATGGAGATGGAGGAAGCAGCCGCCTCGTCTTCTTCCTCTTCGTCGGTCCCCATGCCGCGGGCGCGCAAGGCCAGGAGGAGCCGATCCAATGGGGAAAGCAAAAGTAACGGCAGCAACTTGGTTTTCCATCCTCTTTTCCGACACGGTTAAATTAAATCAGTTAGTACCACGAAATACCAAGCGGGAGTATGGTGATTCCCGGAGGGATCCCCCCAGGAAGGGTTTTGGGGTCTCCTTGCCTTGCTCCGGGATGACGGGGTGCAGGGGAAGGGTGCCGTCGCCCGCGGCGGTCCCGGCTCCGCGGGGTGTTGCGGGAGGGGAAGGGCCATTAACGCAATCCCTCGCCCTCTTCCTGACAGAGTCTCCCGCCAGTTCCCGGGTCACTCGGAGCTCCGGCCGGCAGCCGACCATCCTGAGCCTGTTCTCCAAAGGGTCAGTACGGCGGCAGGGCTGGGACCCCCGGGAGCCTTCGCCCTCCTCTTCCTCTCTGCGCCGTCCAGGGCCGATGGGTTCGATCCCCAAACTTGTGGTTCCCAACAGGAATGGCCTCGGGAACCGGCCGAGCGCTTCCCCGGGGAGCCCCGCTCCTGCCGGTGCCGGGAGAGCCCCTCGTCCCCCCCGAACCCTCGCGGCGTTGGACTCCGGGATTGATCCCTTGTGTTTAAAAACCGGCAGGTCCAACAAGCGGAAATCGGAGGAGGTGAACGGGGAAGTGAAGCAGGAGGTGATGAGCGTGGAGAAGGAGGAAGAGGAGCTGGAGGAGAAGGTGCGTGCCGGCACCGCGGGCAGCCGAGGTCTTGGCCAGCGGCTTTGCCGGGCCGCCGCCGCGCTGGGTTGGAGCGTCTTGTCCTGCAGAGCTTCGTGCTCTCCAGCCTCCCCTTACACCCCTTTGTTTCTCCCTCAAGGAACAAGATGAGAAAAGGATTAAAATCGAAACCAAAGAAGGGTAAGGAGGAAGGAGAGAGCGTTCCCTGCTTCGGGTCGGTGCCCGTTTCCCTCTGCCGCGGCCTCCTTAGCGCGGTGACGATGACGTTGCGCTGCTCCGCGTCTTCATCCCTTTGTATTTTCTTACACCCAGGTTGGAGATAAAAGATGAAATTACTCAGGTTAAAACTACACCACCTGCTAAAGTAAGTTCCTTTTTTCCTCCATCTCGGCATTTTGGGGGCTTTTTTAGTGCTTTTAACTCTTCCAAAGAGTGCCCGGACTTCCCGAAAGGAAAGCTAAAACCATTTCCAGCCCCCTGCAGCTTCCAAAAATCAGCCCCCTCGAGGAAGGCGGGGAGCAGCACAGCCTGTGCGAGCTTGGGCCGCTTTCGAAGCGAGGGCAAGCGTGGTTTGCCGCCCGGATGCTTTAAAAACGAGGATTGCGCTAACGAACCGGCCCCTTTGGGGAAGGAGCTTTGAGCCTGGTTGCGGGCTGAAGCTCACGGGGGGAGAGAAAAGCCGACGCTGTTCCGCCTTTGTCTTGCAGACCACCCCTCCCAAGTGCGTCGACTGCAGACAGTACCTCGACGATCCCGACCTCAAATTCTTCCAAGGGGATCCTGATGATGCCGTAAGGGATTTCACGCTCCTTCTCCGGGTCCGGGGGGAGCTGTCGCGCTAACGGGAACGCTCGTTAAACGTCCTCCTCTCTCCCTCCTTCAGCTGGAGGAGCCCGAAATGCTGACGGATGAGCGCTTGTCCCTCTTCGACGCTAACGAAGACGGCTTTGAGAGCTACGAGGACTTGCCGCAGCACAAAGTCACCTCTTTTAGGTGAGACGTGGGGAAAGCGGGCTATAAAAACCCGCTGAATTTGCAAACGCCGCGGGACAACGCGTCAAACGACAACCTCTGTCCCCTGCCAGCGTCTACGACAAGCGAGGTCACTTGTGCCCCTTCGACACCGGCCTGATCGAGAGGAACATCGAGCTGTATTTCAGCGGTGCCGTGAAGCCCATCTACGACGATAACCCTTGTCTGGACGGTGAGTTGGACGCGGAGGAGCCTCCAGGGACAGCTGGTTTGTCACCTTAAATTTCAGCTCGATGCCACGTGCAAAATGGAGTTGGATCCCGGCGGCACTTGGTCACCCCCAGCGGCTTGGGTTTTTGGGGCGCTGCGGACTGAAATTTGTGTTTTCTCGCTTTCAAGGTGGGGTGAGAGCCAAGAAGCTGGGACCCATAAACGCCTGGTGGATCACGGGGTTTGATGGAGGGGAGAAGGCTTTGATCGGCTTCACCACAGGTGGGTGAGCGAGGATGGGGGAGGTTGGGCTCGGGGAACGCGCCTGCCTTGGGATTTAAGTCTCTGCCGCGCGTCCGGCTGGTGAAGGAGCTTTACTTGGGTTCGTGGATTTTGCTGCCGCCGGGAACGCGCGCCGTCAAGCACGTGGCGAGGCAGAGGACCGCGCCGAAGCTCGGCTCTGGGTTTATTTAGCTCAGCAGCACCCAGGCTTACGTTAAATTCCTAGAAATCCTCCTGCTGAGCTCGCGGCTGCCGGCGGCGCCCTGCACGGAGCTGGGCCGAGCGAGGTGGCTGGAGCGGGGCGTCTCCCCGCCAGCCCTGCGCAGGAAGGATCCCTCCTCCGCGGGAAGCTGCCGGCGCGATGCGGGGACGGTCAGGGTTGCGCTGGGAGGGAGCTTTCCCTTTGCCCTTGACCTCTTGGCCCCCATGGCAGGGCTCTGCTGCTTTCTTGCTCTACTCCTCGGGCTTTTTGGGAAGGTTTGTGTGGAGAGGACTCCTCTTGGAGGAAGGCCCGGTCCCAGCCAGCCCTTGGATCTGTGTCCCAGCTGGCTTTTTCACTCTCTAGCCAAATTGGGGGAAGAAGCTGATATTTGGGGGTTTAAAAGCTTTTTCCCTTCACCGTTTCTGCAAGGAAGCCTTCCAATAACCCGGTGATATCAGAGGACTTAACTCTCCTGTGCGTCAGCAAATGGAGTTTGTAGTGACAAACCCTGGATTGTCTTTGCTTTCTAATTAGGTAACAGCAAAAATAAAAGGCTAGCGCGTGGCTAGCGTGCCCCACCACGTCCTCGCTCTCCCCTCGCTTTGGTGGTGATAGCTGAGTGACCCTGGGTCCTGCCTTGTGGTAGAGCTTCCCCGCGCACTTAGGTCCCGGTGCCGTCGCAGCGCGGACGGGCTGGTCTTCCCCTCCCCAGGACCCGCTCGCCGCAGTCCGAGCTCATCCTTAAATACCGCCGAATTCCCCGGTATTTAACCGCCCGCCGCGATCTCTCCGCCGCAGCCTTCGCGGATTATATCCTGATGGAGCCCAGCGAGGAGTACGCTCCCATCTTCGCCCTCATGCAAGAGAAGATCTACATGAGCAAAATCGTCGTCGAGTTCCTGCAGAACAACCGCGACGTCAGCTACGAGGATCTGCTCAACAAAATCGAGGTGAAAATCGGCTGGCGGCGGTATCCGGGGGCGGGTGTTGCTCTGCTCCCCTTTCCCTAACCAACCCCCCCTCCTCGCAGACCACCGTACCTCCCGCGGGGCTGAACTTCAACCGCTTCACAGAGGACTCGCTCCTGCGACATGCTCAGTTCGTGGTGGAGCAGGTGGAAAGCTACGACGAAGCCGGGGACAGCGACGAACCCCCCGTCCTCATCACGCCCTGCATGAGGGACTTGATCAAGCTGGCTGGGGTCACCCTGGGGAAGAGGTGAGCCCCGTCTCCCCCCGTAGATGCTCTCTTTGGGGGGCACTTGGCTTCGCAGCATCCCAGGAGGAGCCTGGCGGGTTGGTTCCCCGTCGGCTTTGCACAGGGGATCCTTCCAGGAAAACCCTTTTGCTTGTTCCCAGCTGGGACGACCTGAGGGTTTAGGCTCAGTGGCATGAGCAGCGCTGGGAGATTGGAGTAGAAATCCTCCCCAAAGTGGGGAAACCCTCTGGCTAGTGCTGCCCCGAGGGAGGAAAGGCGCTGGGTTGGGTCCCCGGAGCCTGGCTTTGCTCTTTGTCCTGCTGTAGCATCCCTTCGGGACCCCGCGCCAGCCACGGGACGAAGCTGGGTGCCTGTTGGGGTATCCTGCCGTGGTCGTCGGGTGCCCCGGGGAGAGCCGTGTTCCCTGGGCACCCTCCTTGGGGGCCAGGCTGTTCGTTGTGGCTGTAGCTGTCAGCGATACGAGGCACAGAGTCCCCTCTCACCGCTCTCACCTTGGTCGCAGGCGAGCTGTCAGGCGGCAGGCCATCCGGCACCCCACCAAAATAGACAAGGACAAGGGTCCCACCAAAGCCACCACCACCAAGCTGGTGTACCTCATCTTCGACACCTTCTTCTCGGAGCAGATCGAAAAGGACGAGAAAGAAGATGACAAGGAGAACGCCATGAAGCGCCGGCGCTGCGGCGTTTGCGAGGTAACGGGGGGCTGGCGTGGAGCCGAAGTGACCTGATCCCCCCCCCCGCCCCGTCCCCTCCGTCCTACCCGAATGACCCCTTTTCCCGAGGCCACCGAGCTCCCCTCCGTCCCTGTCCCTCCTGCCTGGGGCACCTCCGCTGCGTCTGCCCGCGCTCAGCCTGTCCCCTCTCCCTGCTCCAGGTCTGCCAGCAGCCCGAGTGCGGGAAGTGCAAGGCTTGCCAGAACATGGTGAAGTTTGGGGGCAGCGGACGGAGTAAGCAGGCGTGTTTGCAGAGGAGGTGCGTGTCCCCCCCCGGCAGCCATGTCTCCTGCCAAGGTCCTCTCCGCCTCTGGAGAGAGGGGACGTGGTTCCCGCGCTGCGCCCTGCTGCAGTGACGGTCCCTGTGTCCCCAGGTGTCCCAACCTGGCCGTCCGGGAAGCTGATGAGGATGAGGAGGTGGATGACAACATCCCCGAGATGCCATCGCCCAAGAAGATGCTGCAGGGCAGGAAGAAGAAGCAGAACAAGAGCCGGATCTCCTGGGTGGGCGAGCCCATCAAGGTGAGGCTGGGCAGGACCCCGCTCCCCTCCCGCTGCCGGGGCTGCGGCGGGCGCTCGGGCTGCGAAGGGGCTGCGGCGCTCGCCGGCACGGGGATTTAACGGTGCTCTCCGCTGTCCCTCCGCTTCTGCAGAGCGATGGGAAGAAGGACTACTACCAGAGGGTCTGCATTGACTCGGAGACCCTGGAGGTGGGAGACTGTGTCTCCGTCAGCCCCGACGATCCCACCAAGCCCCTCTACCTCGCCAGGTCGGTGCCGCGGCGCTGAAGGGGATGAGTCTCTGCTCCTGCTGGGGTGGACGTGCGTGGGGGAACCCTGATTGCTCCCCCCCGCTCGCCTGTGCTGCTGTCTGGGGACTCTCCGGCTCTGGCAAGGCTGAGAGCGGCTCGGCCCTTTCCTGCTGCCCCATAACCCTGGCTCCTTCCCCCTCAGGGTGACAGCCATGTGGGAGGACAGCAGTGGCCAGATGTTCCACGCGCACTGGTTCTGCCCCGGCTCGGACACTGTCCTGGGGGCCACCTCCGACCCCCTGGAGCTCTTCTTGGTGGATGAGTGCGAGGATATGCAGCTCTCCTACATCCACGGCAAAGTCAAAGTCATCTACAAGGCGCCCTCGGAGAACTGGTCCATGGAGGTGGGTGACAGCCCTGCAAACCCCAGCTGATCCGGGCCGGGCACGGCACGGACGGCGGCACCGATCCTTGTGAACACCTCTCTCCTAGCAGGGCGGGCTGGACATGGAGATCAAGATGGTGGAAGACGACGGGAGAACTTACTTTTATCAGATGTGGTACGACCAGGAGTACGCTCGATTCGAGTCCCCACCAAAAACTCAGCCCACGGAAGACAACAAATACAAGTGAGCATGCGCTTTTGGGATCCGCTCTGCCCCAAATGGGCAGCAGGAGCCTCTCGGCTCCCGGCAGCACCGCAGCCGGCCTTGGCAGGGTCCCCGTCACCGCGCTCTGCTGTCCCCCTTTCCCGCAGGTTCTGCATGAGCTGCACGCGCCTGGACGAGGTAAGGCACAAGGAGATACCCAAAGTGGCTGAGCCCCTGGAAGAAGGGGATGGAAAGATGTTCTACGCCATGGCGACCAAGAACGGAGTGCAGTACCGGGTGGGAGATGGCGTCTACCTCCTGCCAGAAGCCTTTTCCTTCAGGTTGGTGCTTGCGGGGGGCCGTACGTGCTTCTCGGGATGCTCTTTGGTCAAGCTTTTGGTAGCAGAGGACGCAGAGAACCCCAATTTCACCTCCCGTCGTTAAACTGGGTGACTTCTCTCTGATCAGGCGATCCCGATCGCTGAGCTGCCGTGGTTTGGCAGATGCATCGGAATCCTTTAGCGCATCGCTTTTTCTTCAAAAGAGCGAGCCTGGGTAGATGAAAGGTGAAACAAGACCCTGCCTGCTGCCCGTAATTACGGGAGGAGAAATGGCAAGGCCCTTTGGGAAGGGGGCTGGGGCAGCAACGTGTAGGCACCTCGGTTTGCAGCCGTGCGCGGTTATGCGACGGTCTGGCCGTAAAACGCCTGTGCTGCGGAGCAGGAGGCTTGGTGCCCGCCCTGCGCCAAGGCGAGCAGAAGAGGAGGAAGCAGGCAGGCTAGGCAGCGACGTGGGAGGAGGGTGCTCTGTGCTGCTAGTTGGTTTTGGGGGGAAGGGGATACCCCACCATCCTTCCCTCCCCTTCTCCCCAGTATGAAACCCGCCAGCCCAGCCAAGCGCCCCAAAAAGGAGGCGGTGGATGAGGAGCTGCACCCGGAGCACTACCGCAAGTACTCGGAGTACATCAAGGGCAGCAACCTGGATGCCCCCGACCCTTACCGCGTGGGCCGCATCAAAGAGATCTTCTGCAACATCCGCAGCAACGGCAAACCCAACGAGGCCGACATCAAGCTGCGCATCTGCAAGTTTTACAGGTGAGCGGCGCTGCTGGGGTCTGCGTTACGGGGGTGCAGAGCCCCCTGAGATCTTGGGTGCTGGGAAAAGCTCTGCACCGTCAGCTCAAGGTCGCTCCGGAGCCAGGTGCCTCGAGCACCACGGCGTGGTCGGTCGGTGCAGTGTGGGCGCTGCTCGAAGGGGCTTACCGTCACGACGGTCCGGGCTCAGACCCGGTGCCGAGCTGCGCCGCCGGCACCGTCCCAGGGCGTGGGTGTTCACCCAAACATTTGCAGGCTCTTAGTCATCTCCCTCGCGCCACAGAGGGATGTGTGCGTTGAGCCCTGGCAGCGGGAGAGGAAGGTGCCGATGCTCAGACTGTGATGTTTCGAGCCTAACAGCTCTCCTCCCTTCAGATCTCTTTGCCTTTAAATTCACTTACCAGCTCTGGTGCCAATTCCCCCTCCCTCCTCTTCAGAGAACCCCAAAAAACCTCCTTTTGGCATGAAACAAATCATCCCTTTGGTGCTGTGCCCAGGCCATGCAGCCAGAGGAAGCAAACCCTCCTCTCTCTGGGGAGACGGAGCAGCGTGAGCGCCGGAGGCTGGAGCGGGGTGAGGATGTTGCCAAAAAGATTTCCCCGATCCAGGTGCTTTTTCCTTGCAGACCCGAGAACACGCACAAGTCCATGAAAGCCAGCTACCACGCAGACATCAACCTCCTGTACTGGAGCGACGAGGAGGCGACGGTCGACTTCCGTGCCGTGCAGGGCCGTTGCACGGTGGTGTACGGGGAGGATCTGACGGAGAGCATCCAGGACTACTCCGCCGGTGGGCTCGACCGCTTCTACTTCTTGGAGGTGAGGGAGCCGGGGTTCGAGGGGTCTGGCTGTGTCCCCGGGCACGCCGGGCCCTCGGGGGCCGAGCAGAGCAGGCACGCCGACCTCCGCCTGTTGGCGCGGGCTGTCCCGCCTCGCCGGGTGTGTTTTGCAGAGGAGCTGGAGCGCAGAGCGAGGATTTGCAGCTCGTTGCAACCCCCTGGGGGCTAAGTCTCAGATGCAAAGGAAGCTTTAATCTGAGCATCACCAGGAGCTGGCTGGAGCAGTTGCTCCCTATGGAACTGAGGGGACAAATTCGGACCCTCGGGCGGCCGCCCCAGCTCCCTGAGGCAATGGAGAGGGCAGTGATGGCCCTTCTGCGGGCCCCAGCGCTGCGCCTGTGTCCTGCCCTTGGCTTTCGCAGCTCCGATGGGCAATGCCTCGGCTAGAAAAGCTCCTTGCGTTCAAGTGTCCTGAACCCTTTCTCTTTGCCAGGCGTACAACGCAAAAACTAAGAGCTTTGAAGATCCTCCCAACCACGCTCGGAGCTCTGGCAATAAAGGGAAGGGGAAGGGGAAAGGGAAAGGTAAGGCTGCTCGAGGGGGCGAGGTCTCGGGGGGGGTGAACCCGTTCGCGCCTGCCGTTACGTGCTGCCGAGCAGAGATAAGACCTGCCGCCGAGCAGATGTTTCTGTGCTCTCCTCCTTGCTCCGATGCTCTGGCAGGATGCAGCGATGTGGTCGGCAGCTCTGGTTTTAAGGCACCTGATCATTTCAAAATAAAGCTTGCAGCGAGAGCACCTGGGCTCTGAGAGATCGCAAAGCCTTTCACGTGCCAACCGTTTGCCAGGGGCTGGCTGCTCCGTAGCGTAGGCTTTTTGTACCCTGCTCCCGAGACGGGGAGCTGCCCTGTGAGTTACCGCTGCGCCCGTCTGACCCTCGGAAACTCTGCCTGCGCCCACGGGCTGTTGGATGGGATCCCACGGGGGAAAGACGAGAGGCTTCCCTTCCAAATGCAAGGGCGTATTCTGGCAGCGGGGGTGAAACAATTAAGGGGCAGAAAGGTGCTGGGAGCTGATGTTTTAACTGCTGCGGAGGAGGGGGAGAAGAATTTGCCCTGTAAGCATGAAGAGGAGGAAATGACTTTGGCTTTTGATGTGAGCGGGGCTCTGTTCGCAGGCAAAGGCAAAGGGAAGTCGTCGGTGAGCTGCGAGCAGAGCGAGCAGGAGCCGGCCGAGCTGAAGCTCCCCAAGCTGCGGACCTTGGATGTCTTCTCTGGCTGCGGAGGGCTGTCCGAGGGCTTCCACCAGGCAGGTGAGCGGCAGAGCGGGAACAGCAGCGGGGCGACGAGCAGAGCCCGTGGGGAGACGGGCATCGGTGCTGGCCGCTCGGTTCCTCCGAGCTGGCGGTTGTGTTCGGCACGTGCCGGATCAGGGAGTGCGAGCCAGCGCTCTGCTCCTCCGCACAGGCTCCAGACCCTCCGCTTTGTCTCCCCAGGCGTGTCGGAGACGCTCTGGGCCATCGAGATGTGGGAACCGGCGGCCCAGGCTTTCCGACTGAACAATCCCGGCACTACCGTCTTCACGGAGGATTGCAACGTCAACGTCGTGCTGAAGCTGGTCATGTCCGGCGAGAAGACCAACTCGCTGGGGCAGAAGCTGCCGCAGAAGGGGGACGTGGAGATGCTGTGCGGTGGTCCCCCGTGCCAAGGCTTCAGCGGCATGAACCGCTTCAACTCCCGCACCTACTCCAAGTTCAAGAACTCCCTGGTGGTCTCCTTCCTCAGGTGAGCAGGGGAGGTGGTGAGGAGCTGCGTCGGGGTGCGGACCCCCGCCTCAAACCTTCTCTCCTTGCTCACGTGTCCCTCTCCCTCCTCACAGCTACTGCGACTACTACAGACCGCGGTTCTTCCTTCTGGAGAACGTCAGGAATTTCGTGTCCTTCAAGCGTTCCATGGTGCTGAAGCTCACGCTGCGCTGCCTCGTCCGCATGGGTTACCAGTGCACCTTCGGGGTCCTACAGGTAGGGTGTTGGGTGACGCTGAGACAGTTAACCGGGGTGAAAACCCTTCTCCTCTCACCCGGCGCTGCCGTGAACTGTCCCCTCCGAAGGAGCAGTTGGCTGCGCTGCTGCTTGGCTTCCCTCGGTGGTTTGGGGGACGTTCCCGGCTCTTCGAGGGCACAGACTGGATGGGGAAGCTCCAGCGCCTTCAGGAGTTGTCCCTTCCTTCCCAGGCTGGCCAGTACGGCGTGGCCCAGACGCGGCGGAGAGCCATCGTCCTTGCCGCAGCTCCCGGCGAGAAGCTGCCCATGTTCCCCGAGCCTTTGCACGTGTTCGCACCCCGTGCCTGTCAGCTGAGCGGCGTGGTGGACGACAAGAAGTTCGTTAGCAATATCACCCGGTGAGCCTTCGGAGCCACGCCGGGGCTGACGAGGGCGAGGTTTCGGCCGCTCACGGCTCCCTCCTTCCTCCCAGGACATATTCCGGCCCCTTCCGCACCATCACCGTGCGGGACACCATGTCCGACCTGCCGGAGATCAGGAACGGTGCCTCCGCCTTGGAAATCTCCTACAACGGGGAACCCCAGTCCTGGTTCCAGCGGCAAATCCGGGGCTCCCAGTATCAGCCCATCCTCAGGGACCATATCTGCAAGGTGCGGATGCCGGGGTCTCAACGGGGGGCTGGGCTGCGCTCGGACCCCCCAGACCCAAACCGAGATGGGGGTCAAGGGCAGGCTGGATGTGAGGTGGGGTGAGAGGAGCCATCCCCAAGCCCTCCCTGGTTAACTTCCCCCAAAATGATGCCGGCGGAGCTGTTGGGACTTATCCCTCTCCCCCAGCCTTCCCTGGAGAGAGGACCGGGGCCTCTTGGGGTGGCCGGTGTCCCTTTGTGTCCCCTGCGGTGACGCCGGGCTTGTCGTTGGCAGGACATGAGCGCCCTGGTCGCAGCCCGGATGAGACACATCCCCTTGGCCCCCGGTTCCGATTGGCGCGACCTGCCCAACATCGAGGTGCGCCTGTCGGACGGCACGACCACGCGCAAGCTGCGGTACACGCACCACGAGAAGAAGAACGGCCGCAGCAGCTCCGGGGCGCTGCGGGGGGTCTGCTCCTGTGCCGAAGGTAGGTGTTGGCTCCCCGAAAACGGCCGTGGCCACCTCGCCGCCCCCCACTTACCCTCTTTGTCTCCGCAGGCAAGCCCTGTGACCCCGCGGACCGGCAATTCAACACTCTCATCCCCTGGTGCCTGCCGCATACCGGCAACCGGCACAACCACTGGGCCGGGCTCTACGGGCGCCTGGAGTGGGACGGCTTCTTCAGCACCACCGTCACCAACCCCGAGCCCATGGGCAAGCAGGTGGGTGCCACCGGATCGGTCCCCCGCGCCAGGAAGGGCGGGCGTTGCCGGCGGCCGTGCCGAATGGAGTTAAACCGAGTCGGCAGCCGGTCACCAGTGGCGTCCCCAGGGCTCCGTACTGGGGCCAGCTCTGTTTCACGTCGTTACCAACGATAAAGGGGATCCGGGCACCCCGGGTCGCTGGGCCCGGGTTTAACAAGGCTCAGGGCCGGGTCCTGCGCTCGGGGCACAACAACCCCAGGCAGCGCCGCAGGCGCGGGGAAGAGCCGCCCCGCAGCACCCCTCTGCAAAGTGCGGGCTCGGAGAAAAAACAGCTATTAAATAAGATAAATACCCCCAAAACACCCGCTGGGGAGAGGCGTCCGAAGCCGTATCGGCGCCGAGAGGTTCAGATCGGTCGCGCGGTCGCGCTTACCTGGCGATGTACTCCTTAACTTGGGCCACTGACTCGTCCAAAGCCGAGTCCAGTAAAATCCTAAAGCAGAGAGAGCACATCAGCACGACGTAGGGAGGTCTATACGTTCCATACGTCCATCAGAGGGCTCTGGTGCTCGTATGCAACCCCAGCTGTAAATGATCCCCCAGATATACGGTCCTCGTTATCCAGCGGCCGGGGGAGCTGGGGGGGCTCCGCCTGGAGAGGGGGAGGCTGAGGGCAGCCCTGGGCGCTCTCCACGGCTGCCTGAAGGGAGGCTGAGGCCGGGGGGGTCGGGCTCTTTGCCAACGAAGAAGCGACAGGAGAAGGAATAGGTCCTGGATGGGACCTGGGCTGAGGTGGGATCTCGGGAAGGATTCCTGCGCCCAAAGGGCTGTCGAGCGCTGGCCCAGGCTGCCCAGGGCAGGGGCCGAGTCCCCGCCCCGGGGGGGATCGCAAAGCCCCGCAGACGCGGCGCTCGGGGCCCTGGTTTGGGGCGGAGGTGGTGGCTTTAGCTTAGCGATGGGACTCGGGGATCCGAAAGGCCTTTTCCAACCCAAACGGTTCCACGATTCTACGAATGGTGGCCATGGTCCCAACCCTTGGTTTTACTCGCTGCCGTAGGGTCGGGTGCTGCACCCAGAGCAGCACCGGGTGGTGAGCGTGAGGGAGTGCGCCCGCTCCCAGGGCTTCCCCGATACCTACCGCCTCTTCGGGAACATCCTCGACAAGCACAGACAGGTGAGCGGCGGCCGCTTGCCGGCGGCAAACCCCTCACCGGCGCCGCCATCCCCTTGCCGGCGGCGTGGCGTAGCCGGCGCCCAGCGTAACCCTCCCTCTGTCGCAGGTCGGTAACGCAGTGCCTCCTCCTCTAGCCAAAGCCATCGGGCTGGAGATCAAGTCGTGCGTGTTGGCGAAGCTGAGAGAAGACATGGCGGGTAGGGCGCCGCGCCGGTAAACGCCGCCGTCCCCTCCTCGCGCCGCGGGCGGCGGGGTCGGAAGCTCCGTCGCCGGTGTCGAGGGGTCCCGGTTTAGGGCTGGGGGCGGTGGGGCCC